TGTTGGCTGAAGACACGCTCAGAAATGTGCAGATGAAATGAGATTTTCTGAGGGTTTTTTTTTTTTTTCCATAGATTTACAGAATCTCCTGAGCTGGAATGGACCCAAAAGGATCATCGAGTCCAAGTCCTGGCCTGCACAGCCCCAACAATCCCCCCTGTGCCTCAGAGCATTATCCAAACTCTCCTTGAACTCTGTTTTGTGGTTTTTTATCTGCAGAAACTCCAACTACTGAAGTGATTTTTCAAACCTTCTCATCCCTCCCACAGCCCTGGATCTGTGCCACCCTCSCTGCCGAGCACCAGCTCCCGCTGTGCCGAGCCAAGGGCCAGAGCCGGCCACGTGCCGGGAGCTCACTGTGCTCCCCATTTYGGGAGCTTTCCTGACCACCAATCCCACTGCAATTACAGATAGCTCCTGTCCTCTTCCCTTGCAGTCACCCCAGGCTGCAGGGTCAGGGCTTGGGAGCAGCCAGGGAAACACTGAGCAGAAGCACAAGGCGTGTTTGCTCAGGAAACCAGGCTGGCAGCATCGAGCACCACATCCCAACAGCCGGAGCTGCCTCTGCACTGAGCGTGGAGACAGGAATAGAGCCCTAATTAGGAGATTTCCCCGTGAGGGACAGTTCTTACACTCTAATCAAGGCCACTGATGTCATCTGAAACTTCATTGAAAACTCACTTCCCAACAGGAAAGCTGCAAGGATGATTTATGAACAGCCTGAAGTTGTGGGACAAAACTCCACCCGTAATTTGATTATTTTAAAAATACCGTTGTCTCTGTCTCTCCTTCTGCCCAGGCAGGGCTTTCAGTCAAAACAAAACATTCCCATAACTCACCCCCAAGGCRCAGGGGCTAAAATAATAAATAAAAGCACAAGGTTTTCAACCACCCAAAAAATACCCATCCCTGGAAGGGTTCCAGGCCAGGTTGGAAATTGGGTTTGGAGCATCCTGGGACAGTGAAAGGTGTCCCTGACCATGGCAAGGGGTTGCACTGGATGGGCTTTAAGGGCCTTTCCATCCCAAACCATMCTGAGATTCTATGAACCCCATAAAAGGTTTAAATTTGAGCCTCCTGCATTCTTCCCAATAATCCCCCAGCAGCTGTCCTGCCACAGCCCAGAGTTAAACCTGATGGCAGGGTCCCTGKGGGGGGACACCAATAACCTTGACAGGGAGAACCCAGCAGGAGCCAGCTCTGAGAGGAAAATTCCTGCAATGCCTCATTCAGCAGCTCCAGAGCTCAATGAAAGGGGAACTTAATGCAAYTTCAATAGAAGCTTAGCAGAGGTAAAGCAGGAACTACATGTATGGAATCACAGGGACARGGGATCACTGAGGCTGGAAAAGACTTCTAAAATCACTCAGTTCAACTGCAAATGCAACAATCCAAGTGCAGGTAGCTCTGGGCTGGGGCAATCCCAGCACAAACACAGACTGGGGCAATRGACTGGGAGCAGCCCTGGGGAGAAGGAACTGGGAATTGGTGGGGAGAAGGTCCTGGCCCCAGCCACGATTGCTGGGACCCAAAATTCCTGTGCCTGGGCTGCTCCCCCAGYGTGGGCAGCAGGGAAGGGATTGGGATTCAGCCTCTCTGCTCCACTCAGGCTGGACAGCCCTTTCCAGCTGGAATTCTCCCAATCTCCACCCTGAGCCTCCCCTGGCCCAGCCTGAGGCCGTTCCCTCTCCTCCTGTCCCTGTTCCCTGGGAGCAGAGCCCGACCCCCCCCCGGCTGCCCCTCCTGTCAGGGAGTTGTGCAGAGCCACAAGGTCCCCCCGGAGCCTCCTTTGCTCCAGGCTGAGCCCCTTTCCCAGCTCCCTCAGCCGCTCCTGGGGCTCCAGCCCCTTCCCAGCCCCACTGTCCCACTAAAAGCAGAGGAGAGGTGCTGGGAGCAGGAGCAGCCCTGCCTGGGCTGTTGTTGGAGGAGTAGCCGTAACAGCACCAAGGCTGCGATTCTGGAGCCTTTTAGGAAAACCCTAGGAATTTCTTCCACCCTGGCAGTGTCTCTGTGCCAAGGCCCTGAGCAGACACTTCCGGCAGYGTTTGCACCAGAAGCTCCCAACGACTCTGGAAGGAGCAAGGGCAAGACTTGCTTGGAGAGACAGTTCTGCCCAACCCTAAGGACATAAGGCTTATTCCTAATTTAATGCCAARGAGTAGCACACACAGGCTGAACTCGGCTGCCCAAGGCTGCCCCAGTCCCTCCAAGAGGTTGGGCTGCAGTTCCAGCCACTCAGTGCAGGGAACTGCCTTCAGGGAAAACACCTCACCTGGAGAAAATGCAACTGGAAGCTTTTCATTTGTTGYCATTACTCTCCCAAGTGGGATTTAGGCAGAGGGAACAGCCCTGCAAGCCCAAAACAGCCACCCAAAACCACTTCAGAGGGACATTGTGATGGTAGRATTTGYCTAGAGAAGCTGTGGCTGCCCCTGAATCCCTTTGAGTGCCCAAGGCCAGGCTGGACATTGGGGCTGGGAGCAKCCTGGGAYAGTGGGAGGTGTCCCTGACATGGCAGGGGTGGCACTGGGYGTTCCTTAAGGTCCCAACCCAAAYCAGTCTGGGATTCTGTGACCTGGGACTGCAGGACTGCCTGTGAGTGGCAGCAGATCCCTGCACCCACGTGCTTCCTTTTAGCTTCCAAGACTTTGACTTTCCTGTTCAGCTGCCAGTTCTCCCTAGAAGACAGAATTCCTCACCTCCAACGAGCACCCACCACAACTGAAGCAACAGTACAAACAAAGAGCTTTCCCTTTTCCAGCAGACTCCAATTTCCATCAGTGCTCATGTAAACAAAGAACAACTTCCTTTCTCTTCAATACTTTATTGGCCAAAACAGCCAAGGCTGCCACAACAAAAAGCTGCTCCTTTTTCTGCAGTGAGCACATGTGGCCTGGAATTGTTTCAGCRGGGTGCTRGAACAATGTAGTAAACATAAARTCATGGAATGGTTTGGGTTTGAGAGACCTTAAAGCTCATTTATTCTATCTTCTGCCATGGGCAGGGACACCTTCCACTGTCCCAGGCTGCTCCACGCCCCAGTGTCCAACCTGGCCATGGACACTGCCATGGAGAGGCAGCCAAAGCTACAAACCCCCAGCAGTGAGGAAAAGCCCCAGCCAGCAGCAATGACAGTGCTGACACCGTCTGCATCATCTGAAGGTGGCACGTGCCTTCCTCTGTGATGAGGGGAGGCACCAAGCCCAATCCCTGGCCCTGGCCAGGCTGGCAGTGAGGAGCAGCCCCCAGCCCTGGGCTGGACAGGGCAGCGGGTCCAGCCCAGCCCCAGCACTGACCTCGTCGCTCTCCTCCACGTCCACGTTGCCGTTGGCGTCGTCGTCCATYTGTTTGTGGATGTTGCGCACGGCCTCGAAGCTGAGCTGCTCGTCCTCGTCGTGGCACAGGGCCTTGTCAATGCGGCAGAACTCTGCTGGGAGCAAACAGCAGCACATCAGGACACAGCAGCGAATCACCGCAGAGTCCTTGGGGAGCTGGGCAGCGCTGGGCAGAGCTGTAGGGCTGGGGCAGGGCAGGGCAGGGCTGCCCCTCTCACACCCTTCCCTCGTCCCGGGGCAGCTCTGTGGGATGGGGCCAGCACAGAGCAGGGCAGGGTTGCCCCTCTCACAGCCCTCCCTCAGCACTCCCAGCCCGGGGCAGCTCTCCCAGCAGGGACTGCCTCCTGCCCACGTCCCCAGCTCTGCAGCTCACTCGCAGGTTGTTGGTGTTGGCACCACACGCAGTCGGGACCTTTGAGGAGGRAGAGCTGTGTGTTTATAAAACACATCAATTAAAAACCCTTGCCTCCTTCCTGATTATGAAATGGGCTCTTCTGGCTGTTTTTCATACCTTCTGATACTTTCCAAGACTAACACTTTAAATTTGCTGTGTGCCCCAGTCTGTGTAAGCACCAAAGGCGGCTGATGCAGCTCTTCCATGGCATTGCAGGGTGGTGACAGTGACCTGGGGATGGGGAATCCAGAGGGACCTGCACAGGCTGCAGAGTTGGGGGTGTTCTCCTGGAGMAGAGAGCTCAGAGCCCCTTCCAGTGCCTAAAGGGSCTCCAGGACAGCCAGAGAGGGACTGGGGACAAGGGAATGGCTTCCCAAGATGACCTGGACAATGAGGGAGCCTCCTGCAGAGGCAGGGCTGGCATCCTGCTGCTTCCAAGACCTCAGGAAGTTTATCCCATGCCAACTCATGGCTGCCCATGTGGCCAGSGGAATCCAGCAGCCCTGTGGTGACCAAACTGCTGAGTGAACTGGGAACCTTTCCCTTTCCCAGGGCTCTCCTCTCCCCCAGGCCACTCCTGGCCAGCTGCTGAAGGACGCTGGCGGTGATAAGGGACACAGAGAGTCACATGGACCTTGCAAGAACACTAAATACCCYGAGGTTGATTTGCAGAGATTTGGGGTTCCTCTCCTATTGCACTGTAAGAAGAGCTCAGAACTTTGGGCTGGGCCTGTCTGTGCTGGCTCCTCCCGTTGTTTCCGAGGCAGGGACACGAGATGGTCTCTGTGTTTGTGCTGCCCTTGGACCCAACTCCAGAGGGAAAAATGAAGCCAGGCTGAAAGATATCTCCCAAAATACTACATGGTTATCTTGTTCCGAGCCTGTGCTTGTTGCTACAAGGAAGAACCTGGCAACGCTGTAGAAAAGTTCGGATCATAAGAAGGGAAGGTCGTGTTATGGTAAAACGAAGTGGGTTTATTCAGATTAACACTGTCCTGACCACAGAACTCCTGAGCCCTGAGCCACGGCTGTCCAGTGGTTCATCCAGCATCTGGGAACTGGACCTGAAGGGACGAAGGATTGAGGGGATAAAGGATTGAGGGGATCCTGCCTGGACTTCCTGCCACCCCAAGGACAACCCCAGGGTATTTCCAGCACAAATGCCAGGAATGAAAATTGACTGAGAGCAACAGCAAGAGCAATAAAACAAGGGTTTCAAGAGCTGTCATGTGCTGATAACCAACTACATCACCAACAGCAATCAAACCAAAACCAAGGAGGAATTTGGCACTTTCAGCAAGACCAGAAAGAGTCTGAATACAGGCACAAGTGATTTAATCAGCAGAAGAGCCTGAACTGACAACAGAATGGTCCCAAAATGTCTGCAGCCAGGATGGGCCATTCCCTCCCTGTTATCTCCATCAGCTGCAGCTGCAGGAATACCCAAATGAAGGAACAAAGACCAGGACCAGCCACTTTGCCTAAGGCTGATGGCCTAAAGATCACAGTACAAAATCATCCTTTGGGTGGGAAGGGACCTTAAAGCTCATTCACACCTTCCACTACCCCAGGGTGCTCCAAGCCCTGTCCAACAGGGCCTGGAATACAAKACCAGGCTATTCCAACACGCCTTCAGCAAACAAAACCTAAAAACGAGTGTGAAACTGTCTTTGTTTAAGTAAATCTYCCTGCCCAGAAAGTCCACCCCTGACTTTTGGTCCAGCAGCTACCCCAAGAAACTCTTGCTGCCTGATCACAGCAGGGCTGTGATTCCTGGAGCCCTCAGGAACAACCATCATCTCCACTCCCACCTCAAGAACAACACCATCATCTCCACTCCCACCCGGCCTCTCTGAGGCACCTTTTGCCAACCTTTGTCTCCATCCCACTGTTTGGTGGCTCCAGGCCTGGTCTTTATCTCCCTGCTATCAACTCAATGACTGCTGCTGCCATTGTGCAGAACAAAGAGTCCCTTGTCCCTCCAGAGGGGTGTCCTTGATGGTCCATTAACCTGGGCACATCAACACAGGCTGCTATTCCATCCCTCCTGCCTTCCCTCCCTCCTCCTGCCTTCCCATCCACCCACCCCTCRGGGCTCGCTGTCCCCACCAAAGGCACTTTGCAAGGTGCAGCTTCTGCTCAGGGTACTGCTGCCAACCTAGAGGTGCCACGGCCCTGATCATCAACACTGAGGCCTAAGTGATAAAGTAAAGGTGGTATTTCAGGCTGGAAAAGCTCTCGGACACCATTGAGTCCAGCGGGTCCCAGCAGTGCCAAGGCCATCACTGACATTGACCCCATGTCCCCAAGTGCCACATCCACGTGGCTGTGAAATCCATCCAGGAATGTGACTCCASCACTGCCCTGGGCAGCCTGTGCCAGGACTGGCCAACCTTTTCCAGTAAGGAATTCTCCCCAATATCCAGCCCAAACCTTCCGTGGTACAACTTGAAGCCGTTTCCATCTCCCATGCGAGGTGGTTTGGGGTGGTTTTATAACAGATGACGAAGATGTGTCTCATGGTGGTCCTGGCTGGCACAAGCTGCCCAGAGAAGCTGTGCCCAGAGAGGACTCCAGCCATGGGTACACTCAGAACTCAATGGGGCATGGCCCTGGAGCAGCAGGGCTGGAGAGGACAATCTCCAGAGCACCCCAGTAACATCATTTCATCCCAGATCTCTCCTTTCTCATGGGAGATTCTGTCAAATGAGAGTTTTGTTTAATTGCCCTTGATTTCCTTCTTCGGGGTTCCATTATCTTCAATAACGCCTGAAGCTCGTTAAGGGCAGCRCTGGGCCCCGGCAGCTCCAAGCTCTGCGGCAGCAGCCATGGGGACAGCACTAAACAGCAGCTTAATTATTACAATTGTCATTTACATAACTGGCTTTTATAAACACCGGGAGGGCAGCCAAAGAAAAAAAGTCCTATATTTGGGGAAAAAGAACTGTTTACATATTTCACTCATGTAAACAAGGGCTCAGCTGAACTTCCGTGCTCAGGGTTCCCTCCCTGGAACTCCGGGTTTCAATTAAAAAATGCCAAGGACAACTTCAGGAATTTTAAYGAAGGCATTAAGCCCTGAGGGATGTATCCAGAGATTTCCATTCCCCCGGARGGCTAAGGAATATCAAAGGGAACCCTGACATGTTGCAAGGCTGCAGAGCAGCAGCACAGAAAGCAAGGCTAAAAGGGCACAGTAATAATCCTGGGTTTCCAGCTCTAATTCCCAAACAGCAGAGTCTGATGGAGCTACGACAGTACCCAGCCATTCCTACTCTCAGGAAACCACTCAGAGTGTTTTTATACTTCAAGTTGACACTGTGCAGCTGTAAACTGTTTACTACAGAGAGAACTGTCAGACTCCAGGTCTAATGCGCCACACTCAGACACAAATGCGTGTGAAATTCACAAAATAAATAATTCTTTTTTTTTTTTTTTATTAAATGGATTTAACAATCAGAATTGGGATTTTAGCACATGCCTGTCTCCCTATTGCCTTTGACTTACTTTGCCTGGCAAACTCCTTCCCTGGGAGGTGCAGAGCCAGGACACCAAATCTTGCTCCAAAAGACAGCAAGGAACAAATCTATGCTTCCAGTGCCAGATGGGATATTGGGCAGGAATTGTTCCCTGGGARGGTGGGCAGGCCCTGGCACAGRGTGCCCAGAGAAGCTGTGGCTGCCCCTGGATCCCTTTGAGTGCCCAAGGCCAGGCTGGACATTGGGGCTGGGAGCAGCCTGGGACAGTGGGAGGTGTCCCTGCCATGGCAKGGGTGGCACTGGATGGGCTTTGAGGTCCCTCCCAAGTCAAGCCAAGCCAACCTGTGATTCCACGACCAACAAGGGTTCCAGCCATGTTCCCATCTCCCTTAGAGCCTCATAACTCCTACAGYGATTCTCCCAGCAGTTCTGGGATGTAGAACCTGAAGGGAGCTTGCTCACAGCAGACAAAGGAGAGCACTCAAGCACCTGCTCAGCACAGAATTATTCCCGTGCTCTTGCTCCTGTGTTCCCTGTCACCCCATGGACAGCAGGGTCTGGAACACTTCAACAGGCATTCAATGCACTCAGCCAGTTTTCCACTAAATGGAATCCCACATTGGTTTGGGCTGGGAGGGACCTTAAAGCTCATCCAGTGCCACCTCTGCCATAGGCAGGGACACCTTCCACTGTCCCAGGCTGCTCCAGCCTTCAGGGACCACGGAAATTTCAGCAGTTCAAAGAGACTTCTTTCCTCTAAGGGAGCACCTTGCACGATGCAAAAACCCAAACCCTTGTATCCAACTCAGATGAAACAGTCTAGAAAAAATGTAAATCCAAGCAGAGGGTGGACTGTTTGATCTCTGAGAGACTTTGAAAGAAGCACAAACGCCCTCGGGTGTCTCTGCTGGAAGGTCCAACCCGAAATGTTCACAAACCATTTAATAGCACTGCCCAGGRAAACACGCTGTACCCACTTCCTGGGGCCAAATTCAAACTTGCCTCCCCTTTCTGGCAGTCCCTGGTCTCAGATCAGCATGACAAAGCCACACAGAGTCAGACAGATGCAGGAGGACACCCAGTGTGATCCACGGAGCCTCCTGGCACCACCATCAGCTGAACACAGAGACAGGCTGGAATTAGGCAATGAAGTGAGCTTATTGTGCAGTCATGAACTTACACTCAATTAAAACCTCAAAATTCCTTCCCTAAATGGGCTCTT